GCACGAAAATACAAGGGCAAAGAGGGGACTTGTCTTGCGTGTGTCTCCTCATTGTCCCTGTATCTTTGCGCTCAATTTCATCGTATTTTTTCTCATAAACATTGCACTTAACGAGAAAGAAAAAAAATTTTGCATCAGCATAAATTCAAAGGGTAGAAACGGAAAACTTTCTGGGAGATTCACTTCACAAGACTTGCTGATATAGTTCGTTCATAATACTAAAGTTGTTGCGGGAATCATCCCTGGGAACGGAAGGGAAATAATTTGAGCATTTAGCTAGAGTCAGAAACCTGTATCACGACACGTTTGAAGGGGAACTCCGGCGTTTTCTTCATAGTCTCCGATTTGCTTAATGATATGTTGAACGTCGCTGACATAGTAACCCAAATATTGGGCCTATATATTTCTTCGCTAAGTATTCAGAATTTTCGTTCTCACCGCGTTTTTTTTTAACATAAAGTCTCTAATTGCAACAACAAAAAAGGGATGTTAGCGGCAGGCAGAGCTCACTCTCGACTGTAGGTTTTGTTAAAAACTTTTTACAGTTTAATTCATGGTTTCAAATCAATGTTTTGCAGAATCGCTTTAGCTCCCGCGCAGCAGCAGAAACAAATGCTCGGCATAGTCGACTTCCAGACGGCTTGCTCGGCCTGCAAGCGTGATTTGCCCTGACGTCACGGCACTAAACAGCTCGTATATATTGGAATGTTAGCATTGGCTTCATATTCAGTTGCCTATTTCACAGTAACTATTCTGAATTTAGCGATACTAAATAGCATACCGGAAAGAGAAAGGCCGGTGACTTCGTAAATATAGTTAGGTGGGGTAGCTGAAAAATAGTCAGGGCATCCCTTTAGGGTGAAGATGAGAGCTTAACCCTTTACCTTTTCGTTTAAATATTCAAACCATCAACAAGGAAGAAAATCCCAGTTCTTGAGCATATAATTCTGAGAATGCGGGATCTGAAAGTGTTGAGTAACTGAGATTTTGGACAGAGTGATTATTTTTCTGGAATATTAGATTTTGTTGTTGAGAAAAGTAATGAACGTATTGATTTCTTCGAATCAATGCATTTTTAACTAGAAAAACGTATTTTTGTGCGTTTGGAAGGGTATTACTAAGCTCGAAGGTCGATGTCACGAAACCGTGGTCACTGAAATGGCATGACACAGGTAACACCGCCGAGACCCGTGTAGTGGGCACGAGCGTCCTTTCTGATCCGGTGGCTTGCTCGCTTGGTCGCTTCAACGCGACGCACTCCTGTGGGACGTAGATGGCGTTAGACGCCGCTCCGGCAACTGTGATTCCACAACCTTCGCTCATCGCATTGGACAGGGGATATTTTCGTAAATTATGTCTCTCAGGTTACCCCGCAGGGGGCACCTGTGAAAGCAGGTGTTTGGAGAGTGGCGTCTCCACGGACCCCGAGCCATGCGGGTTCGCCCGCCCACGTCTGGCTGTGCGTGGCTTTCCCGTGTCCGGGGAAAAGGGCATCCTGTTGGTTGAGCCGAGCCCGGGGTAGATTTGGACCCTTCGGGGCCCCCCGGGTGAGGCAATACACCACTTCGGCCCCTGCTTCTCGTAGACGGGAGTCCCGGTAAGGCCCGGCCAGGATGATTCAGTCTAGCCGCCACTTCTACTATCCCCTCTCTACTTTCACCCTTGTCTTCTCCTCCTTTTCACTCTTCTCATTTCTCTTCTTTCCTTTTCAACTCCTTTGGCAGCAAGGGCTAACCTTGGGTGGCGACAGACACCTTGTCCAGAACCACTCTTGGTTATAGAGACTGGGCAGCACTAATAGAGTAACGTCCTCAGCTAAGCCTTTCTTGTTATAGAGCGTTACCTATTCTCTTGTTGGGCTCGGTGGTGGGCGGTGCACCACAGTTTCCGAAAACCCTCCCCCTTCATATGGGTTCTCAAGCAAAAAAACCTTTTGATCGGGCCCCGAAAAGGGTCCGCACCGAAGCACTACGCATAGAAGAAACAACATATACATTTTCAGAGTTTCCCAAGTTTCTTGTCATGCACTCTGAGGATGAAAAGCCGCTTGGCAAGTTGTCCCCTTTTCTCATCTCAAAAGTCCTTGAAGGAGTGATTGGGAAGAACTACAATGCAAAAACGATGACATCTGGTGATCTCCTAGTGGAGATACACAGTAAGCAACAAAGTGATTCACTATTAGCACTAAACTGCGTGAGTGATTACAAAGTCACTGTCACACCTCATAGAACACTTAATACAATTCAAGGGGTGATCTCGGAAGACGACCTGCTCGAGTGTACAGAAACCGAAGTAGTTGAGGGCCTTTCTACACAGGGAGTAATCGCTGCACGGCATATTACCCTTCGCCGCGATGGTGTTGAACGCAAGACAAAACACATCATCCTCACATTTCAGTCAACTACACTTCCTGAAGTTGTGAAGGCAGGATATCTCCAGTGCCGTGTCCGCCCTATGTGCCAAATCCTCAGCGGTGTTTTAAATGCCAGCGGTTTGGCCATGGGTCACAAAACTGTCGAGGAAGTGACACTTGTGCCAAGTGTTCTAGCAAGGAGCACGTCGCTGATGTGTGCGAGAATGAGCCCCACTGTGCTAACTGTAGCGGTAAGCACCCGGCGTACTCCCGATCCTGCCCATTATGGAAACAGGAAAAAGAAATCCTCACCTTGAAGGTTACCGAAAATATTTCATACGCTGATGCAAAGAAGCGCTTCGCCTTTGTATCCAAAGGCTCTTATGCCGAGGCTGTACGCAGGGGACCGGTTGGGCCAATAGTTTCGACAGGAACGCAGACGTCTACGGACAATCTGCGCCTCCCATCGAGGTCTCCTTCGTCCTCGGGAGCGTTGCCAGTGACACCGCTTTCGAACCGTAAGGTGGATGATGCCTCTTCTGCATCCACCTCAGGGCAGGGGCTGACCTCCCCTGCTCCACCTGGGCCGGTTTTCTCGAAGCGATGGTAAACCCATTTTAGTAAACCACGGTACCTAGGAAGGAAAAAGTACCTAGGTACTATAATAAACGGCTGGAAAAAAAACCACAATAATTATTTTTGATTGGGCAGTAAGATGCGTCATCTATCGGTGAAACAAGCCAGTCATTTTGTTTATTCTCTTTTTCCGCTGGTTGTTATCGCTCTAGTATAGTATTTTAAGTCAAAATATAGTAATGTTGTACTTGAAGAACAATTTATTTGCTTCAGATGCTACGAAGAAATTTTAGCTACCATGCTAGAGTTTGTCGACGAATATTTGAAGACGTAAGAAACATTTCCTTCAATATGTTTCGCCCTAAACAACGCATAACTTTCCCGAGTCCCTTCCAGTCTGGCAACGCCGCTGCTGTAGACTCGTTTTTGTTCCCTGCGACGCACGTTTCTACGGTTCCTGCTGATCTCAACTGTTTGCCCTTTGCCCTCTCTTCCGTTTGCCCAACCGATCCACCGATTAGCCCACCGACCGACTGCAGACTTACTAACAACTGATTTGCGGACCTATTTGTACTTTGATAACGGAAACGATGTCGAACGGGACGAGGCGTCGACGTCGACGAGACCGCGCGTACGCGCAGTACGCTGTCGTCATGCTGGGACGACAACGTGTGTTCCGGGACCGCCTCGATCCGCTGGAAGAATTCGACGAGGATGCGCTGCAGCAACGATTCCGGTTTGGTCGCGCGGGAATTATGTTTCTCGCGGAGACGCTGCGCCCGGACTTGGAGCGGTCGACGCGTCGCAGCTGCGCCTTGTCCGCAGAGCAGCAGGTGATCGTCGCTCTGCAATTCTACGCCACAGGCAACTTCCTCATCACTGCAGGCGACTACGTCCACGTGCAAGTCTCTAGTGCTTCACGGTCCGTGAGGCAGGTCACCGTAGCTCTGGCACGTCGAGCAAGGGACTTCATACGGTAAAACTTCATACGGTAAAGAGTTCCTAAGCGTTCCGAGTCAAAAAAAAAAAAAAGTCAGATTGTGTTGAGTTTGTTTATGAGTAAAGCTATATGCACTCCGTCGTGCACCTCGGCCGGAAAGGGCTATACGCAATACGCGAAACTGCCTTCCAGAGAAGAGGGAAAGAAGGAGCTCCCCTCTTATCAGGGTCCTCCTTTGTGCCTCCCGGGTTTGCACAGACGTTGCTATTCTCCTGCCAGATGATTAGAGAAGATTAACCTGTCACTCAACATACTTACAAAGGCAGTTTCCCTCTCCTCCTTTTACTTGGTGTGCAAAAGTATGCGATGTGACGTCAGTGCAGGGAGCCTATAACACGAATGGTTACTACGTGTTTTATAAGCGGTAACATAGCATAGGGTTCAAAAAAAAAAAAAAAAAAAAGATGGCATAGCATAGGGGCATACACCGTGCATAGGGGGGTAAGTTGTCTGCTTCATACATAAGTGGACACGGGTTCGATCCGCGGTGTGGGCCCACTTTTTTTTTCTCGAACATTTCGTTTTGTCGAGGCATTTGGCGATATTTACCACATTTCTTTTTTACGATGAACACTGAAGCAGAAAAAAAAAAACGAATGTTGTCGGCTAAACTTTGCATAAATGTGCATGCTAGGGTATTGTGCTGTAAATTAACTTGTGAATGTATTGGCAATGCAGGTGGCCTGACGTCGCAGAGAGTGCTGCCTTGCAGGAGCAGTTCTTTGACGTAGCCGGGTTCCCTTGTGTCGTGGGTGCTGTTGATGGCACCCACATTCGAATCCAGGGACCGCGCGTGCACGAGGAGGTGTACCAGAACCGCCACCTGTACCATTCCATCAACGTACAGGTAGGTGGTAGTTGACGCGTCCTGCCGCATACGCAATGTGGTTGCGAGATGGCCAGGAAGCACGCACGACTCCCGGATTTTCACCGAGAGCACACTATCAGTCAAGCTGGCCGATGGCATCTACGATGGCCTATTGCTCGGCGACAGCGGCTACACCTGCCAGCCGTGGCTGATGACGCCATTCCTGTCGCCATCATCAGCAGCAGAAGTGAGGTACAAGACGGCACACACCACGACAAGGAGTATTGTTGAAAGGTAAGACAAAGTCACGCATCGTGGTGGGTTACTGGGCTGCTATATTGAAAAGAATGCCACTAGACAACGTAACATTTTGTTGTCATAGCACAGAAGACACTGTTAATTGTAACGCCCCTACATGCAGTTTTGTGTTCTCTAGACCCAGCAGAAAACAGTAATTGCACGGAACCTAAAGAGAGAAGAAAGAAAATACTATCCCAAGAATATATATTTATTTATTGTACTTTCCAGTGCCCCTATACAGCCCGAGGGCCTGCATAAGGGTGCAACGTAGACACATATATGCAGTGTTGCATAAAAAGCAGACACGCAAAACGCATGCATCGTATCAAAAAACAAAAACGTGAAATATTCTCCGACATATTTTTTGGAGAACATATCACATTGTTCGTTCGTTAGGGGCAGGATTTGTTACATACGTGTGAAAGGCAATATTTTGGTTCAACCTGGATACAGAAGAGCAAAAATATACAAATGCAAAGCCGTGTTTTTTTTTTCCGGCCCCACCTTTACAGAAATTACACGCCTACTTGTCATACATTCTAAAATACTGTACACTGCTGGGACTCGCCGTAAAAATGTGACAAATTGCACCGGGCTCGGGTTGCTATAGGGAAGTCGTTGACAGACATCTTCGGACTGCTAATGTTAACGAATGTTTGTATGAAACTGTGTTTCGCTTACACTCAGCTATGAGGAACATTTGTCGAGGGAAGTTTAATATGGTCTACATGTAAACATACTGTTATATATCTTGGCAATGATAAGAAATGATTGCCGGGTTTTCGGTAGGCTACAGCATTCAGAAAGTATGAAATAGTCTCAGCCCTAATATATTAGTGTAATTTAAATAAATAATACTCATTCTGTCCATATGATGCACGCAGGACAATAGGCCAGCTGAAGCGCAGGTTCCACTGCCTGCACGCCGAGCTGCGCATGGAGCCAAGCAGATGCTGCGACATCATCGTGGCATGCTGCGTGCTCCACAATCTCGCCAAGAGATACCCCTGCGCGATGCCAGGGACTGCCATCCCGCCTGAGGTTCCTGTGGAGCCCATGGCAGCCGGCCGTGGAGAAAGCAACGAGGCCCGGCGTGCCCTTGTCGACCAGTTCTTCTGTTGAGCGTAAGTATGTGGGTATGTGGTCTTTTCAATTCAAACTGATTTTCTTGAATGCGAGAAACATACAGAGATATTGTCCTCTCTGTGTGTTTACCAGGCTCCGTATATGGATAGCCATAATAACAAGTTGAATGTGGCACGCGATTTCATATAATAAATTTTCTTGAATGCTTCGTGGCATCTTTTGGCTGTGGTTTTACCAGCAGCTGATATAAGGGGCTGAACCAACCCCAGCATATTCCTTGGAGAACATAGATATTTTAATCTTTATTAAGCACTCTTCATGTATGGTTTCAATACGAGGGTAAACAGGCTTTGCGGAATTCACTCGTTGCAAAAGAATGGAAGCATTGGCAGATATTAGAGCAAGCAGATGTTGTGCTGCGACTGCTATCCACCTTTATTTGCAAAAGCGTCGCTTGGAGATGATGCAGAGCCCGTCGTATGCCGTTCAGGCGTCCACCCTCATATTGAAGACGTCTGTACCCTTTCCTGATTCCGAACATTGTAGCAGAAAGAGTGCCTCAAACATTGCAAACCATATTGTCTCGCTAACCCTCTTCATTGCAGCATGTTTTTTGTTGGTTGCAACAATGACATGCACTTAAGATGTAATGTGGCGGTGTCCAAACAAGGTAACTCTTCTGAACAGCATTGCAGGCACGGATCAGAATCATTCTCGCCTCATCCAGTTTCGGTATGTAGTAACAAATGCCCAAAGATTGATTGACATGTCTTGCAGCGTACCTCGTTGTAAAAGGTTAGAGTTGGTCAAGCAGCATAATTGCAACTGCGTTTAACAGTGAAATTGCTGCATGACCCATGGAACCACATACGCAAAAGTCCTGCAATATATTGCTGTTGTGCCTCGGTCAACAGTGCGTGCGGCTTTTGTGCGAAAAGCTTCGGCCCACTTCTGCGTGTTGGTCATCGTGCTTGTCTTCGTACTACAGGCTACGCGAACATCAATGCCCTCATGCGAGTAATTATAGGGGTGAGCGAAATAATAGCCTTAAAAATAATACCATTTCATTTTATTGCGCCTCTGTCCTATAAGTTGGTATTATTACCATATTTAAAAGTATTCTACAGGTGAGAGGAGTCAACCTGTATGCGTCACAGTAGTGGTCCGATTATAACAGCCACTAATGGGTCATGTACATAAGAGGAATAATTCTGCCATTGGTTATTTCACTTAGTAAAAGAATAAAGGGTATATAAAATCGCTGTCGAACAACGTTGAAGTATGGTAATGCCTGTTTTTCTCGGGAAGTGAACAAAAAGAGTACAGAGTTCCTGAACGGTGTAAATTCCACGACACTCTCTCCTCGAAGAAATCAGGCACACCGAGTGGTCACACCAGTAACCATGCATTTAGACGCATAATCACTGTTTGCGCCGTGCAGGCACTTCCTAGGTTATTTGCTTACTTGCTGTTTTGTTTTGAGCAGGGTCGAATTGTTAAGCTTCTTTCCTTAGTGCCCAACAATGATGTTTTTGACGTGTCGACAGGCTTGCGCTCATGTATGGAAACTCCGCTGGTTAGATTGTCGCTGGTGTCGGATACCAATGTGGTACTTTGGAATACTGGGGAGGCGATAAAAATATTTCATTATTCGTTAAAATTACTTGCACCATCTTACTGGCTGTCGCATAGGGTCGAGTGTTTTTCTCCAGGGACGACTACCCCATAACATACTGAGGTTTTCACAAATCCTTGCATTTCAAAATGTACTTTTATTATTTCACATCCGCCCTTGCTTCGTCAATCTAAAAAAAAAAAAATCTTAGAACTTAATGTTCCCCCCCCCCCCTCCTTGGTCTGTTCTGATTACTCCTTTCCCAATTGTTTTTTCAAAAGCTCAATTTGAAGTTCAGCCTGCAAGGTTTGTAGCCTTAGCATTTCAGTGTAATACTGTTTAGCAGCATCTGCTGCAGCGATTTGTGCATTGGAGGCATCTATGGCTCTTTTTGTTGCCTCCCTATCCAACAGGAGGTTCTCCGCCTCCATCTGCTGCTGGTCCTCAGCTTGCTGCTGATACCTCTGCGCAGCTTCCGGGCACCAACGTCTCGTCTGCAAGACACGGGGAGCTGCTGCCCACTCTTCTGCTGCTGCCACCCTTTGGCCGCTTCCTGACGCCCGAGGCTGCGGCGCTGCCGTTTGCCTCAAGCTATCGCTGTGACAAATGGATATGCAGGAAGTGATTTGCTGTAGTTATTAGGAGTGTGCAGGCAACATACGTATAACATACAGTGTTTGTAACCCCGACATGTTGCTGGAATTTTGCCACAGTGTACTTAACTGCAGAACAGAAACTCTCTGATGCTTCAAGCATCTCCGAGTGGACCACACACATGGTGCTCGTGCAGAAATCCATGCTCACCGTAATATCCCGAGAAATTGCCCACCCAAAACTGAGAGCACATTAGGTAAAAATAAGGGGTAGGCTAACATTCGGTGTTCACAAGGTAGCTCAACTTGAGCCATTGAAAAATAGAAAGTCCTGCTACAAATCAGGATGGGCTATCTGTTGGGGATGGGTAGTCTCTCGGGATATTACGGTAATATTCCTTGTACCGGTTGCAACTTTCAGTATTTCATTACCTTTAGCTTTCTTATAAATTTCTTAACCTTGCCATTTATTTCAGCTAAGGATGTTGTGAAACCAAACATTCAAGTCTCGTTGTTTACGAAATCTACGATGCTACAAAAGAGTCTTCGCTTGGCTATGTATAGAGTCAATCTTGCTATGGCTTTCTATCCTGCTGTTAAACCGATAACTGATGCCAGCAACGCTACCTCTTTCCTTTTTGCGTTCCGCACTAGTTCGTCACAGCATAAACGATGAGTTTGTTCACTCATTCAACAACTAATCAAATATCATGCGTAACAACAGGGTTATACCTTTCTTTTTCAAAGGAAGAATATTGTCTTATTTGTTGCACCTGTTGGTTAAGAGGTTAGAACTAAATATCACCACCTTGCATTCCTTCAACCATCAAAAAGTGTACTACAACTCTTTGCTCGGATATCTGCCTTTGGTACATCGGTAGTTCTGTTGTCTGGGTGTTAGTTATGTTAGTAATGAGCACATTTTGCTACATATCCTTCTCTGTGTGTTTTTTGCAGGTTGTAGAGCAATTATGCAGCCGTATGAGTAAAATGAAGAGAAATTCACGATTACATGCTTGCCATAAGTGAGCCAAAGGCAGTGCAGTATGTCCGCTAGCCTGGGCTCCCTATCCCTAACCTGCATCACGCAGTAGTGATACATGAAAGTGCGCTGATTTCCAATTAGATATTGTGTGTATGGCACTATGACAATTTTTACAATCTCTGTTCTCACATCAGTTTCTTAGGGTCCCACCATTAATAACAGAGCTGTTCTGCATGCCCGGCACCCAGTGTTGTTGACTTGTCATACAGACTGATGTAAGAGTAATCCACTCACTCTTCCGTGTCACCCTCAATGACATCGAGCCCACACAGGTTCGGCGACTCGACGCCGATCACGTCGAGAACTGCCTGAATTAGGGGCGTCAGTTCATGGGGGTTCGGGCCGGCACCTGCCAAATGAATGCACATTATTTTCATTCCGTCGTCACCCGGGCCCCAGAGGCATTGCAGATTGGAGGGGGATCAATAACCAACTACCAAGCTAGAATATAAACAGCAGAAATCCAACAGCATTATGAAGCATCAAATAAAAGCATAGTAATTTATACTGTGTGGCAGAAATGTAACTTCTTAACATTGCAGTGGAGTGATCTCGCAACAGTGACCTTCCAACATGCACATCGCTGCGTGCAATTGTGCTGCAGTCAACTTTTGTGCCTTGAGGATGCAGTAATGTAGGGTATTCAGCGACGTGTTCGATGAACAACAATGCCATAAGTTTTAGGACTGTTTTCTTAAAAACAACAGAAAAGGCACAGTTTAGGTGGTGTGCTTTCAAAATTTTGATCTCCTCTGTCTCAGGTCTACCACACTTTTTGCTGTTTCATGTGTGTCTCGGTTACTAAAACACGGTTAAAGGAAATTTCAATAAAGTGTTTTGAGATGTTGCCTCTTTTGATTTTATTACTGTTTTCGAACAGGGAAAGGAATGTAGTGGAAAGTTACACGTCAACACTCACTTTTATATCTGTCATCAGTCATGCCATAAAAAAATTAAATGCAAACACGGCATTATAATCCATGGCAGAAAAGGTTCTGTTTATTTTTTGTGTCCCTGCCCTTCACCCCCCCCCCCCCCCCCCCCCACTCATCTTTAAAGCGAACAGTTGAAAACTAGTTTGTTTTTCGAAATATGCAAATTCCTCCGACTGACCTGTGCGCCCTTCATGCTTCTTGTAGGCGCTGTAGACCTTCCTGAATTTTTTCAGGAGGTTTTGCCACGCCTCCTTCAGCTGCTTTGCGGTCCTCTGAGCTCCCTGCTCATTCATTGCATCGGCAATGTCGAGCCACGCCTGCTGTCTCGTGTGTGCAGTTACTGCAGGACCGAATTTTCCCATAATTTGTTCCCTTCTTGCCCCAACTTCCCCAATTAACTTCAATCTCTCGTCTAATGTCATAATTTTTTGCCTCTGTTCGCAAGCCCTCGATACTGACGCTTGGTCCATTTTCAACCGACGTTTGCGGTCAGGACACTATCGTCTGCTACCTTGGTTTCTCTACCCGCACACCTGCGTTTTGCTATATATCGCAATAAGACGAAAGATAATCCTAATATCACTTTTAAAAACGAAAAAAAAAAAAGCGAAAGGATGATCTCGTCAACTTTCTTTGTAATAAGTGTTTGTTTATTTCTCGTTTCTGCGACTTCTGCAGATGACATGGGCAAGGTTGATTCGTATACCGCGCTTGTACTATCTTTTCCATTGGTGGATGCATCGACCGACCGTCGCGGTCAGAACCAGACGCAGCGGCACTGCTTCAGCGTGAAGCTAAGGTTCTCGTCAGCGTTGAATTGCTGGCCACCGGGGATATGTAGAAACCTCGATGCTGTCGGCATACTGTCGGCGCATTGCGAACAAAAAAAAACAAAAAAAAAACGGTACAATGTCTCAGCTGTTCACTCGGAACGAAGACTTTATCGAAGATAACCCCTTTCTCCGCAAAGTAATCGCTGCTCGCGAGTTGGCGTGCATAGTGTAACAAATTAAACCTGTTCGTATACCAACGCTTGTTCGCAAAACATTTTTTACTCACCATAAAAACACTTGCAAGGCTGATGTACCGTCATATGTCCTGGGTCCCGGACTGCTGAAGAGTGATGCGTTCGCGGAATGCTGCCGTCGGTTAGCTTAGTTGTCCCTCTGAACTACCGCTTTGCTTGACGTGCTAATAGGTTGATGGTGCGTCATTAATATAACAGCCGGATCGAAATTAATGTTCAGCAGAACCAAGAAGAACTATTAGCCCTCATTAAGCGACGTCGCGGCCATTTTGCTTGTAGGTACTGCTTCTCCCTCGGCGCCCCTGCTCGCCCAGTCACGTGACCTAAAATTCCCCGTTCTAGGGACAATAGTTAACTTTGAACCACGGTTTGCGTTCGAGAAAACGGGCCCAGGCCCTTTGGCCCCTAAGGCCCGAGGCCTACCCCTCGCTCCTCTGCTCCCCAAAGGAAGCCCGGGGAGCCGCCGAAGCAGTCGACCTCCAAGGGTCAGCTGCCGGCGGCAACAGACGAGCCCAAGGACGTAAGTGGGCCCAGGTCCGAGGAGGGTGCTCCCCTCTCAGGATCAGAGTCCTCCCTTTCTGTCGCCAGTGAGCCAACTTGAAGGCAGAAAGACCTTCCTAAAAACCGAACACGCCACGTGTTAAGATATATTTTAAACCTTAAAATCTCCTTTTAAATCTCTTTTCGTATATATACGTTTTTCCTCTCTAGATGCCTAAGTATAGTATCATGCACTGGAATTGTCGCGGCCTTTTTCTAATATTGATGACATAAATTTTTTTCTCGATGGGCTTCGACCTGTGGCCATATGTCTGCAGGAGACTCATCTTAGGGACACGCATGCCGAAGTATTACGGTGCCATCAAGTTTTCAGAAAGGACCGTGCATCATCTAGCAACTCGTCTGGTCGAGTGGCTGTTGTTGTCCAGAGCGGTCTAGCCTGTGCTCCAGCTCCTCTCACGACCTCGCTGGAGGTAGTGGCAGTCCGTGTGCTTCTTGACCACCTTATTACACTGGTCTCAATCTACCTACCACCAAATATTTCACTGCATCCACAGGACCTTCAAGGACTCATTAGCCAGCTTCCCCAACCTTTTTTTTTTTATTTTAGGAGATTTTAATGCGCACAACCCCATGTGGGGCAGTGCCCGCCAAGACTCCCGTGGTGGGGTCATTGAACGATTTTTGTTATCATCTGGCCTTTGCCTTTTAAATGGAAGTGATCCAACTTTTTTTAGTGCATCTCATATTACTTTCACCTCTATAGATTTGTCACTTTCATCACCATCCTTATTTCCATGCTTTTCATAGAAGGTTTTAGACAATTCCTTTGGAAGTGACCATTTTCCTGTGATTTTAGAAAGTATTGCATCTCTCCCTTCTCTTCGAACAAGCATCCCCAGGTGGAAGTTGGATGAGGTGGACTGGGCTCTTTTTGCGTTGGAAGCGGTACTTGACTCTACCGAATTTTTATCTATGACGCCGGAGGATGCAACCTTGCACATTACTGACCGAATCATAAATGCAGCATCTATTTCTATTCCACAAACATCGGGGAATCTTCCAAAGCGGTGCAAGCCTTGGTGGACCAAGCAGTGTACTGCCACACGTAGGTCTCAGAACAAGGCCTGGGGCACTTTTTGTCGCTACCCAAGTACTAGGAACAAGATTGAATTTAAAAAAAAGTAAAGCAAAGGCTCGTTGGACAAGGAAGCATGCCAAGAGGAGTTCGTGGATGAAGTATGTTTCCAAAGTAAACAGTTTTGTTACTTCAAAAGAGGTGTGGGACCGAATGAGAAAAATTCGGGGCAATTATCTTTCTTTTAGGATACCTCTTTTACCCTCAGCTATGCAAACGTTAAAGGGCCAG